TCTTCTGTTCCACTACTGAGGAGAGTGCTTTAAGAAGAACAGGGGAAATACCTCTGTCAGATATGGGTAAGATAATGCCAGGGTAGAAACAAAGAGGGGCTACATTACAGGTGTATTAAGCGCAGTAAGGCATTTGTGCTGTCATTAGATGACAAGGGGTTCTTGTATTCCCCCTGCTGGTGGACCCAAGGCAGGTGCCTATCCTGTATACTTGTAGCATAAAACAAGAACAAAAAATACATCAGTAATAAAATGCAATCCATTGTTAAGTACCTCAATATGTTATGACCATCTATAGGTACTTTCATGATTACTGAAGAACTATCTGTGTGACCAGCCCCACAACAAAGTTAAAAAAAGGACTATTAAGGCTAAAATAATTACAAATTACTTTTTTTTACTATTAACTATTCTGAAAAATATTCTGCATCTGCTTGGATGTATTTTAATGTGAGTCACACAATAACTAATGGGAGATCTTAAAAAAAAAATCCAAGTGGTCATTGCACAAAACACTGAAGAGCCCTATCTTCTCTAGGTTGTAAAATGATGAGCAAACTGTTGATGCTATGTAAATCCTGTATAATATAATAAAAATAATTCACTGTCAGGGTCTATGATTTCAATTCTTTTCTCTTTATATAACTGAGAAGTGAGGTGGTTTACTTGAGGGGTCATTTTCACTGTAGCCTGAAAATACTTAACCTGGTTTATTGGAATAAAAAAAAAATTCTCCTATGCCTATTGGGTACACAGGGTAGATTAAAAAGCACTCCTTTACGAGGTGCTGGCCTTCCACACCTTAAATCCTACTATAATGCCACTCTCCTGGACCAAATATATTTTTGGTGGCAACCAACCAGAGAAAAGTCCTGGTCCACAATGGAAACCTCACCTTTTCTTCCACTTAAACCACACCATCTACTCTTAACTACAATATTCTCACAAATTACCTATTACTTAAAGCACCCATGTATCCAAGCCACCCTTCAAACTTGGAAAGATCTTTTATCCACAGATTACGCAGACTCCAAACAACTCCATACCCCACTCAACATATTACATTCCATTACACCCTCTCTAGATTTAACCCAGTGGGAAAAACTAAACATACATCATATAGCAGACCTTTACAAAAATCACATCCTACACCCATTTCATTATCTCCAAGCCACATTTAATCTCTCTGCCGCTGAATACTTCACCTACCTACGAATCACACACTGCATCCAAACAAACAACATACCCCATACCATAACATTCCCGGCTATGGCCTACACCTATTTCTCCAGACTGCATTACCCAAGTAAAGGCATCTCCACCTTCTACAAAGATTTATCGGACCTGCAATTTACTTTAAAATCTACCTCTTTATCTATTTGGGAAAAAACCCTAGCAGAAAACATTCCAACTCACTCATGGACTACTGCAATTAAATCCACCTACAAATCCTCTCACTGCAACTCACATTGGGAATCCTACCTGAAAATATTTCATCAGTGGTACCTAACCCCTACCAAACTAACCATTTTCTATCCAAATCACTCCCCCTTCTTCCTGGCGACAATGCGGGGACATAGGCTCCACTCTTCACATACTATGGGCCTGCAAATCTATTAAATCCTTTTGGAATAGTATATTCCGACTAATAACTGAAGTTTCCAAAATAATGATAACCCCAAATCCGGCACTTGCACTCTTACACATCGGGATTAACAATTTCCCTTGTACCTCCTGTACCACCATTGTCCACATACTTTTTGCAGCTAAACTAAGTACATATAACCCGATTATGGAATACAACCACAGCTCCTTCCCTTCAATCGCTCATTTCAGCTCTTAACTTCCAATGCGAAATGGAAAAAAGACTGGCCACCAATAACTCCACCCAACATAAGTTTAATTCCTTATGGTCTAACTGGTTACAAAACCCTAACTGCTCCGTAAAACCCTGATACCTTACAATCAATCGCTCTACTTATCCATGTCAGACTGGTACTCCTCCCCTATTCTACCACAATGTCTCCCCCCCCACTACCCTCCCCCTATTATTCTCCCCCTGTTTATTACCCCCTTACTACTCACTACTCCTCCTCACGGTTCAGTCCACCCCTAGCATACCTCTGATTTCTATGCCGTAACTCTATTTCCAACCCCAGCCAAAAGGTGGGGTAACATCCTAATACAGCTGTATTGTATGCATAAATTTATACTGAACCAAATGTTTTCTCCCTGTTAAATTTTTTAAAAAAAACTATGAATAAAAATTATTGAAACTGAAAAAAGCACTTCTTTAGCAATTCAGACCTAGAAATGGTTCCTGGAGTAGATCACCCCATGAGTAGACAAGGGGAGAAGTGTTTACACTAAAAACGTTGCTGAACTGTAGATAAGTAACTGAGATTGGTAATTTTTCTAGTTCAGCATGGGAAAGAAATTCAATGATTTTCTATTAAAGAGTTAGTAAATCATTAAAAAAAAAACCTGTACAAAGAATCCTTTCAGCGGAGCGCCACTGTCACCCCTGACAAGGCTTCCATCTTCACCTGGTCTTCCAGTTTGACATGATCTGGCAGTTTGAATGAAAGAGCCATGATGACGTCCCTCCTGAGCATGCACATAGGAACCAAAATTGGGGCACACAGCATTCTTAATGGATGGCATAGCTGAGTATGCTGCCCGTTAAGAGACCAGTGCGCATGTCTCTTAATGGGCAGCTAGTCATTGGAATATCTCCTAAAATGTTTAGGAGAAATTCGTTTTACAGTTTTACATACAAGTAAGTTTTATTATAATGTTACCTGTAGGAAAAAGAGGCAGAATGGACTTTACTATCACTTTACGACATCCACAATGTCTAACTTTGATTATGACCTTGTTTTTAGACAATAAACTCCAGGCAAAAAACAAAAAAATATGATCTAGAAAGCAGTAGTGTGACCAGAAAAATGGGGGAAAAAATCTGCAATATCCTTTTAGTTCCGCACAATGAGGTATGTTATTACCTACAATACATACTTTTTTGCAAAGCTTTGTATCTAAGGGTGTTTCCATTCACTGACAAAATTCCATCGTGATATAATTGTGCTAAGTATGATTTTCACTTTCACAGGTCAACCCATAGCAACACCATGTCAGTGCTTTCACTGCTTTCAGCTGATGAAGTGAATTCCTTTTACTATAGTCTACAGCACTTTTTAATGTCCTGTTAAATATATTTTAAAGTAAAAGTGTTAGTAAACCCTCAACAGTAAAATTAGACCAGTGGTTCTTAACCTTTTTGGAGGTACTGAACCCCACCAGTTTCATATGCGCATTCACCGAACCCTTCTTAATTGGAAAAATAAAATATGATTTTTAAAATTCAAAACATAGGTATATATTTATACATAGGTGCACAAAATGAACAAAACCATTAAGAACAAAGAACAAAACCATTAAAACATGATTTTCACACAAAAACAAAATAATTAATATTTACCGCAAATCAGTGTGACTTCTGCTGTTGTCTTTCAGAGGCCAGTTCAGAAATGCGCGGCTTTACCTTGGCAAGTGCCACTCTCATGTCATTTTCGCAACAAAGTCTGTTCCTTTTCTTCGTCTTTATGTCCAGCATCCTCGAAAAGGATTGCTCGCAAAGAACAAACGGTATGAAAATTCATGTAGTAAACAAACGGTATGAAAATTCATCCCCCATAGTAATTCATAATTCATCCCCCCATATAGTAATTCATCCCCCATAGTAGTAATTCATCCCCCATCCCCCATATAGTAATTCATCCCCCATATATATCCCCCATAATTCATCCCCCATAGTAATTCATCCCCCATATAGTAATTCATCCCCCCTATAGTAATTTCATCCCCCATATTAATTCATCCCTTATATAATTCAGTAGTAGTAAGTAAGTAGTAATTCAAGTAGTAAGCCAAGTCCCCCCCCCCTGTGTCATCCCTTATATTAGTACTTACAAGTTTGCAAGTCCCCCCGCAATTCCTCTCCGTGCGTTCCCGCCGTATTCCGCGCCGTCCGGTCTTCAGGGCGGACTGTGAGAGGAGCCTAGCTCCTCTCACGTTCGTCACGCTGCCCCGCCTACACACATCCTGACAGCCAATCACTGGCTATCAGGATGTGAGTGGCAGCGAGACTGGCCAATCATTGCATTTGAGCGCGCTGCCCTGGCTGTTTTTTTTTTTGGGATCGCGCTGAAGAGTCCCTGCCGCCCGAGAGGAGGGAGGGGAGCGGGCGCCCGGCACACAAGAGCCGCATTAACGTGTGTAAAGAGCCGCGGCTTGCCGACCACTGGGCTAAGCGATGTTGCGTGACCACCTGCAGCCAATGATGGACAAGCGGGGCATGTCATCACGAATCATATGAGTCGGGTGTGGGTCTTCACCTCCGCCGAACCCGCGACACTGACTCACCGAACCCCTGGGGTTTGATCGAACCCAGGTTAAGAACCACTGAATTAGACTGTATATGCATCTAAAGCATGCTTGTTATACTCACTGTGGAACCTAAGGGGTTAATCCTCTGCATTATGTAAAAATGCTGTTTGATCCTGACTTCTCTGATCCTCCCCTTCTTCCACAGTCCCCAATCCATCTGCTGATAGAGCCTTGGGGGCAAGCTGCACATGCGTATTTGTTGTGTATTTCTAGAGAGTTTTTTTTTTTTCTTGGGAAAGAACATGTGATCAGCACAGGGCCAAACAGCACTGCTAAGACAGAGGGTCAGGGGTCCTGCAGCCTCAAAGGGCAATGAGGGGAGGATGAAAACTCCTCCTACAAGCTTGAACTAGTGCTCTATTGGACATTGAGGTATACTCTATTCAATAATTTGCTAGAAAACACTATTATATAAGTTATATATGTACATGGAGAACATTCTGTATCCTCTCACAATAATAGTCTGTGTTCTGTGGAAAAACACAAGAGAAGTAAACACATTGCTAGTTTGATTCTTTATTGTAAGACAAACAAGTTTAGTTAAAGTGTTACTAAACCCACAACAGTAAAAATCAGTCTGTATATGCAGTAAAGCATGCTTGCTATACTTACTGTGGAACCTAAGGGGTTAATCCTCTGCATTGTGTACAAATGCTGTTTGATCCTGTCTTCTCTGGTCCTCCCCTTCTTCCACAGTCCCCAATCCATCTGCTGATATAACAGAGCCTTGTGGGCAAGCTATATATGCTCAGTTTGATGTGTATTTCTAGAGAGTTTTTTTTTTCTTGGAAGAGTGCGTGTGATCGGCACAGGGCCCATCATCGCTGCCTAGACAGAGGGTCAGGGGTCCTGCAGCCTCATGGGACAATGAGTGGAGAATGAAAACTCCTCCTACAAGCTTAAAATAGTGCTCTGCTGGACACTGATAGAAGTCACAAGACTGCTATATACTGCTGATGAGAAAAGACATTTAGCAGACTATATTTACTAAAATAATTGCATTTCCATGTTCTGTGTACTGTGGAAGACTGGATATGGTGAATTCAGGGTCCTGGGTTTAGTAACACTGTTAAGTTACATTGAATCAGTTATATAACACATTTATGTAAAGCCTTTCTCAGGATGTTATAATAAAATTTTCGACATTTTAATAATATTTATCCTGAGTGTGTGTTATATACTTCAATAAAACTAAGCAGCTAAGTGCCATGGGGTTGATTTACTAAACATGGACAGTGCAAAATCGGGTGCAGCTCTGCATATAAACTAATTGGCTGCCAATTTTTTTTGTCAAAGCTTAGTTGAACAAGGTGAAGTTAGATGTTGATTGGCTACCAAACACCGTGCACCAGATGTTGCACTCTGCAGTTTTAGCAAATCAACCCCAAATTGTTTAACGCCATTGCAGCACTGGCGTCCTGGAGTTGCTTCCCATCAAGGACACTCTTTGCATAGATTTTCTATATTCTGTCCATGTATGTTTTTACTCTGTGTAATATGGCCTTCTCACAATCTGAATACCCACCAATAGTTTTTATCCAGCCATAGAGTGTGGGTTTGATTTACTAAGGGCTGGTTTACATCATAGAAACACAGTCTGGATGCGTTCCAGATGCGTTTCTGTATACGTGTTTTTGATGCGTTTTAAAAAAAACAAGATATACCTGTGCTTAAATCCCAATAACTACTGCATGCATTTATCTATCAGGTGCTAAAAGGGTGTAACCACATATTAACACTAAAAATTCTGAAGGACCCTCTGCACACTGGTATATACTGTACCCTTTCCAGCAGAGGGTATATACCAGTGTGCAGAGGGTCCTTCAGAATTTCTATTACTGATGCGGTTTGACCCGTGTTTGATGCATTCCGGTGCGTTATTGATGCATTTTAGATGCGTTCCGGATCATTTTTCCCCCTCTCTTTTTCATCAACTTAAATAAAGACATATGCATTCCAGTGTATTTTTGGTACATTTAGGTGCCATCTGCTGCGTTTTTGGTACGTTTGTGATGCGTTTTACTGTGTTCCAGTACAGTTCAGTGCAGAAAAAATGCAGCATGCTCTTCTTTTTTTCTGGAACTGGACCTGACTGCATTGGTGTCAACTATGCCATTGGAAACTATGTAACCTACTATCAATGCATTTTTGATGCAGACAAAAAACTGGACTGCATGTGGCACCACCTGCCTGTAGTTTGCATGTTCTCCCTGTGACTGCATGGGTTTCCTCCGGGTACTCCGGTTTCCTCCCACACTCCAAAGACATGCTGGTAGGTTAATTGGCTCCTGTCTAAATTGGCCCTAGTATGTGTATGTATGAATGTGAATTAGGGACCTTAGATTGTACGCCCCTTGAGGGTTAGAGCCTGATGTGAATGTACAATATATATGTAAAGCGCTGCATAAATTGATGACGCTATATAAGTATCTGTAATAAATAAATAAATAAATGTGGTGTGAATTGGCACTAAAGCTGGAGAGTGCAAAATCTGCTGCAGCTCTGCATAGTAGCCAATCAGCTTCTAACTTTAGTTTGTTCAATTAAGTGTTGCCAAAAATAAACCTCTAAGCTGATTGGTTTCTCTGCGGAGCGGCACCAGATTGTGCACTCTCCAGTTTTAGTAAATCACCCACAGTGTGTATGACATTAAACTTCACAGAGGCAGTGACTTCCTTGTATAAGCCAATGTTATGAATTTGGGGGTTGATTTAATAAAGGCAAAAAGAAATTCACTTAAGCTGGCCATACATGTGTAGATTTTCGGACGAGAATTTTCATTTAAAAAGTCGTACAAAAATTCTTTGAACATTCGATGAATGGACGAATGTCATTCGAAAATTGTCTTTTGCTTTTAACATTTGATTTTAAAATGAATGTCATTTCTGAATGATAACCACATACACTGGCCAAAAATTCTTTTGATCATGTAAAGTTTTCCTTCCTGCCCCTTCGCAATTTTCCCATCACTGCTGTGGAAAATAAACATCGATTTGACCCCACTAACGGTTAGAAAATCAAACAAATATTCTTGAAACTAAATTTCTTGAACGAAAATCTAAACATGTATAGCCAGCTTTAGTGTGTGTGTAAAAATTCACTTTGCACCCATCCAATACCCTTCTACAAGGAAAATTTGAAAAAAACTATTCTTTCTTGCACGTGATTGAATGATGTAAGTCGGTTCATCTCATTCACTAGGCTAAGCGTAAATTCCCATTTTGCCTTTAGTAAATTAAAGCCTCTGTATAAGGCTCCATGTATACTGGGCGTTTTATTAACTCTGGTAGCGTTAGGTATGTAAAGTCCAGGGGCGGACTGACCATTCAAGCACTTGGGCACTGCCCGAGGGCCCAAGGTCAGTAGGGGGCCCCATGAAATGCCCCTGGTACCATTTTTATAGGCTTTTTTGAGTGTGGGCAAGGACACAGGGGCCCCATGAACCCATATTGCCCAGGGGCCCCATGAGTTGTCAGTCTGCCCCTGGAAAGTCACATTAAAAACACACATTTTTCAGCATTTTTTAGTGTTTTTGCATTAGCGTTTAGCCGCATTTGCATTTTTAAGCTTTTTTTTTACACAAACAATAAATAAATAACATTTTTGCTCAAAAAATGCCCAAAAAATCGCATTTTTCCAGCATTAGAACATTTTTACAGCTAAAAAATGCTGGCTAACCACTTGTCTACAGGGCACTTTTACCCCCTTCCTGCCCAGGCCAATTTTCAGCTTTCATCGCTGTCACATGTTGAATAGCAATTGCGCAGTCATGCAACATTGTACCCAAACAAAAATTTTTTCATTTTTTGAGATAGATAGAGCTTTCTTTTTGTGGTATTTAATCACCTCTGGGTTTTTTATTTTTTGCTAAATAAACTAAAAAAGACTGAAAATTTTGAAAATAAAAAATTTTCTTAGTTTCTGTTATAAAATTTTGTAAATAAGTAATTTTTCTCCTTCACTGATGTGCGCTAATGAGGCTGCAGTGATAGGCTTTACTTGTGGGCATTTACAGGAATCACTGATGGGCACTGAAAAGCAGCACTCATATATGGCACTGATAGGCGGCATTGGTGGGCACTGATAGGTGGCACCGATTGGAACTGTTAGGCGGCACTGACCAGCACTGATTGGCGGCAGTGATAGGCGACATTGACTGGCACTGATAGGCAGCTCTGATGGGCACTGCTATGTGGCATTGATATTTATTTCAGGTACTTATATAGCGCTGTCAATTTACACAGCGCTTTACATATATATTGTACATTCACATCAGTCCCTAACCCTCAAGGGGTGTACAATCTAAGTCCCCTAACTTACATTCATACATACACATATTAGGGCCAATTTAGACAGGATCCAAATTAACCTACCAGCATGTCTTTGGAGAGTGGGAGGAAACTGGAGCACCCGGAGGAAACCCACGCAAGCACAGGGAGAACATTCAAACTCCATGCAGGAGACGGCATGGTCGGGAATCAAACCCATGATCCATTTAATGCAAGGCAGACGTGCTAACCAGTAAGCCACTGTGCCGCCTACTGGTAGGCACTGGTATGTGGCATTGATGGACACTGACAGGTGACACTGATGGGGCTACAATGATCATCAGGGCACACTGATCACCAGTGCCCTGATGATCACTATAAATGTCCCTTCGGAGGAATGCCACTTACCACCACCGAGAACCGCCGCCCGCCTGTCATTTCCTTATATGGTGAGTGGGAGGCGGTTAAAGCCTATATGTACATGGACACATAGGATGACATGCTGGGGGGTTTACTGGCTGCAGAATAAAACACCAAAAGACAAAAACAGCAGCTGTAAAAATGTCCAGTGTGCATGAGGACTTAATGTGAGACATCTGTGAGATATTTTTATTATTCATGCTAAAGTATAAAAAATATACTTCGTGAAAGTATTTTGAAACAGATGTGTTGCTCATGTTCGACGCTGCAAGTTGCAAACCACCATGTGCTATTCGAAGTGCATTGGCACATTAGTTATTAAAAAGTGAATTCTCTGGCAATCTTTCACATTGAAGCTATTTAAACACAAGCTGAAATCCTGGGATCCTCCTTCTGGTGGGGTGGTGATGATTTGCATATTTCTCATAACATAAGGAGACTTCTGACTGCCAATAGCAACTCAGGACTCCTCCTGCCTGTAGGGGAACTTTCCATTCAATGCACTGTTAGCTGCTAAACATCATTCAAATCATATTAGTAGTGTAGTTTCTTTGGTAGAGAAAAAACTATTATTGTTTCAGTCTAGTGAATAGTTTTTTTTTTTTTTAAAAATGAGAAGTGGAGAGGTCCTTGCACTGTTTATATGGATGCACTGTTTGCTGGCTAGCTACAAAGTCATAGCTACTACTGAGCCAACCACTACCGGTAAGTATGTTTCTTTAGTTAAATGTTGTCTCTCTTCTGTCTCTTACTACTATTTCAAAAGAACAGCTTAGCAACGCTTTCCTGTTGTAATCCAACCGGGTATTTTAAAGATCGTGTTTCATTCATATTCTAAAACTGAGTAAAACTTGTTGCATACACTTTTTAATTATTTCTGTAAACTGTTGTCGATTTGCATGCTATTTACTAATCTGTATAAAAGTCAATCAAGTAAAAGAACATTTAAAAGATGATTTTTTTTTTTTTTAATGTTCCTTCCACATGTGCAAATCATACTTCTAAAATCATGAAATGTACTAGAATTCTTGGCATATTGTTGCTTGCTTATGTGTTCTCACAACAAAACTTTTGGGAACTCATAATAGAAGGAATGTATTGCTTGTGCTTTTGAAGTTAACGCCAGATATTGTAATAAACTGAATGCTATGTTAGGGAGAATGTCTATTTATATGACCT